CTAATAACTCACCCTCAGTGTGGTTTGGGATAACAGGTTTTACTTTAGAACTTCAGCTGACTCGAGATTGGCACCTGCACTACTGTCACAGCTCCAGTGAGAAGCAGGAACCCAGAGGAACACTAGGATGCTGCAAAAGCTTCTTTAACCACCTGACCATCACACATTCCAAAGACTGATGTTGCTGAAATGTTGCAGACATCAGCTGTTCTTCAGACTTATCAATTTAATATGAACCAAACACATCGCTGTTATCAAAACCCTTCTGTTTTCATGGCACCTCACTTGTTTTTTTAACAAATCTAATAATGACCATATCAAAATGCAAAGACATTGCTTGTTTCAAACACTGCCTCCATTGGGAAAAACAAAACTGCAGTCCCTGATTTGTTTGGAACATGTGACATTGAGGAGACAGGCAGCTCTAACAGCCACATGTGATGAAGGTGGGAGAGAGGCTGAAGAAAATCACCACATTCAGAAACCACATGCAGAAAGATGCAAAAGAGTTGAAGGACTGGGTTGGTGTTTTTTTCTTTTTGAGTTGCACATTGGAAAAACTGCTGAAGCAGTAACAAAATACAGACAAAATTAAGTAGTATTTTCATAATTTATGCTCCAATTCACCAATGATTAATATAACAAATATGAGCATTATTTTTAATTGTTACAGTGATTCCTAGTAAGACACAAGTTTCTTTGTCCTCCATTATTCCATCTTCCACGTTGCTAAGAATGTAACATACTTATTGCCACAACTTGAGATAAAGTGTAATCTGTATGTAGACACAAGCTTTATCTTCTTTTCTATGAAGTATAACAATAGTTAGGTCAAGGAAATGCTACTTTAGAAGGGTTTTTTTTAATGCCTCTCTCTTGTATACATATGTGTATATACAGACACAGACATTATTCATGTATGCATATATATATACATATAAAATGTTTAGTAGAAAGCTCCCAAACACTTATCAATCCAGTTTCCCAGATCTGGAATTTGATCTGACTAATAACAACCTGTCAGCTTTAAATATTGGACTATTTGTCTCCCTGTGTCCAGTGCCTGAGATCTTGTTAATTACCTAAACTCCCTTTCTGTAGGTCTTGTTAATTACCCGTCTCCTGTCTCAGAGGACCTTGTTAATAACTTGTACAGTCTCTCTAAAAAGGTCCTAATAACACATTAAAATTAAAGATGCTTTTCTTTTAGCACTTGTCAAGTGGTGTAAATTGAGAAATTTTCACATCAGTTTATTAGCCTGTAGTGTAGTGTCATGTGTTTTCCTAAACAAAAACAATTTCAGAAAAACGATGCACAAGCTTTGGTTATGGCACAAAACAATCTTTGTTTTCCAGGAGCACCCTCAGTTTCTTTAACTGTGTTCAACACAAAAGCCACGTGGCTTCTGACTGCAAATTAACCTCCTGAGAGCCACAATAGCAGTAATTGTAAGAATGAGTGCAATTTAAGGCAATATTGGGTAAAAGTTTCAAAACAATGCATTAAGAAGTACAAAACCAAAATTATTATTGGTAAATGCTGGATAAGAGCACTGGACATTGTTTGCTTAAAAATTCTTCATTGGCTTTATGAAACAAAACCTCTGGAATGAACAGATTTTGTAGCATTTGCAAAACCAGCATTTTTGTTTCACTATGAGACTCCTGCATTTTTAAATTGTCAAGAAATCAGCTCATAAATATCTCTACTATGCCTACAACAGACAATGGAACCCCCAATCTTAACACTTATGTAACACTGCAATATCGTATCTACAAAAACACTTTAAAAATACTCATTTATCCACTCAGCATTTGCAGGAGGCAAAGCATCATCCCTATTTTACAGATTTAGCCAAATCCAGGGAACAAGCCTTTGCCAGGTCAGAGATGAATAGAAATGAGGGGTCCATATTTTGTGATTTCCTGTCAATAAGTATTATATACAAACCAAATAGGTTTTTGTTTTGGTTTTCCAAAATACTTCTAAAACCTTCTTGAAACAATAATAAATGATAGCAATAAAAATAAAAAATAATTTTCAAATAATCCTGGCATACCTGCTTTCAGGAAAAAAAAATCCTACAAGTGTTGCTGAGCCACTTCTATAATTCTTGGATCAGCAGCTGAGCAACACGTGGAAGATGTACTTATCTTCATTAGTTTAATTAGTAAGTAAGAGTAATTAGTGACAGAGCATGCAGCCAGCCAAGCACTGCAGGATGGGCTGTTCAGCAGCTCACCCAGCTGATGTCATCAGCTGTTCTCCACATTGTTACTGCTCACACAACATTACCAACCACAATTAATTAGGATGGACTTAAGCCTGACCCAAAGTTCACCCAAGTCACTGAAAAGCTTCCCCCCAAGCTTACAGATGTGGCTTCACCAGCACTGAGAACATGAGAGTCACACCACAGACATGAAGGAGCTGGGTTTGGTGGATTTCTTTTGAGGGAGGGATGCTATGGGTTGGGTTTTTTCCTTTCATTTTTCTCTATGTCCAGCCTGGTCCCACAGACTGGATGCTTTATGGCTCCAGTGTGCTCCTGGAATGCATCCTCCAGCAGGATTTCATCAGACAGGAATCCAGCTCAGGATGCTCCATCACCCAAAGCAAGGCTGGGTTAAGTGGGAGATCCACCTGCAAAGCAAACACCTGATCCACAACAGAACACTAATTTTAGACACACCTTAATAAAAATATACTGCCTGCTTTACTTGCAGAAATGGGATTCATCCAAAAGAGCTTAATAGCACTTTGAGTAAATAAAAAACAACCCAAAGACTAAATTCCCTGTCTACTCTTTCTGCATACTGAATTTGTTACCCAGCCTCATTTATTTTGGACCCAGATATTCATACAAATTATTTCTTCAGTATTACTAGTTCAAAAAATAAAAAATGGATTCCATTTGAGAAATCCTCCACAGATAAAAGGTAAACTGTAAACTTATTAAATATGCACATTTTGTATTAGTTTCTACTTCAAAAGAAAATATTTCTATAAGATGCATTTGGAAGAAAGTAAACTAAGTCTAAAAGGTTCACAAAGAACATCATAATGCAACACAAAAATCAAGAGCTTCTAACTTAACTTATTGCATGCCAGATATTATGCCATAATAGCTGTTTCACAAAAAAGGTCAGAATGTTTACTGTTTTTGGCTTTTTGAAAATAAAATAATATCTATTTGTCTTATCAAAAGTTTATGTTTACATAAAAGTCAAGAACTAGTAAAAGGGATTCCCATACAAAGACAGAAACAAATTACTGGAGTCCTTCTGAATGGGCACTGTGATGAGCTTTTTAATTACAAAACAAATAAAAAAAGTCCATCATGATTATCATTAAGTTTTATATTTATCAAGATCTGCTGCATTCAAGAACTTCAAAAGATTTCACTACTTACATCTAGCATCTGCCTGAACACAGTGTTTCATTTAAAAAAATTAAATGCTATGCAATTTTAATTGTTATTTGAATTATTTCTCTTTAAAGAAACTTAAATGGAAGTTTAACTTCTGACAAACCAAGCTACAACCTAACCTTATGCTAATCCAGAGAAATACTTCATTAAATAAAAAATATTCTAAGATTGTCTACAAACATGTTATTTAAGACACTAGAAACTGACTGGACTCATAGAAGGCACTAAGAAGATAATTTGTTGAGGTCACATGAGCTTCTAGCAACAAACTCTTTTCTACAGCAGTTCAATCTCAGTTCATTTCCCTAATTCACATCATGACTGGTTTTGTTAAGAAAATGATTCTAAGTTTAAATCAGGAGTGCATGCATTCTAACCCATGGAGAAAACTGAGCTGGGACACAGTAAGATTCTTTTCTTCTAAAAGAACAAGGTAACAAAAACCTTTTTTTTTTAAGAAACTACTCGAGTCATTAATTATGGAATTAATATACAGGAAAAGGTAATTTTTTTAGAACTATGCTTCCATTTAAAACAGTGATTGATTTTATACCCTTTAGATTCCAGTTTGAAGCACTTTATTTTCAAATGCATTTTCTACCAAATTTAAGTCATTACATAGAAATGAATCATTACCTTGAAATAGCAAGGACTGCTAATTTCTGGCATTTATATAGAAAAAAAATGCAAAGGAATGAAAGTTAATTAACCATTTGTCTATTGTGAATCGTATATGTGGGTGGCAGTGTACATAAATATATATATTTATGCATGTATAAAGAGAGACAGACAGGCAAGATTATCTTTCTCACAAGCACACAGCACCCAGGAAGGAAACCAACAGTGGGTTACACATTTTCTTAAGGAAAACAAGTAAAGCATTGATAGACAAACAAAGATTAAAATGGATTATTGAAATCAAAGTTCCTTATCAGTCCTGTAACTTAATTCATTCTGCTCAAGACATAAACTGGTGCCTCGTGCAACAATTTCAACACACAGAACTCAGCAAAGCTGCAGTGAGCCAAATGAATTCAAGAGAGATAAGAGTTCATGTGGGTGCTCCCATTTAGAAACAGAATGTTCTTTAATTCTTGTACTCTAATATATAGAACTAAAATACTCCTCTGTTTTTTCCCCCACCCAAACAGTGACATCCACAGGATTTCTTTTCACTACTCCCATTTGCACCACTCTTTTATTTAGTCAGATTCCTCTTCCCCTTACATTTGAAACCTTTTCTTCTCCAAACCTGACTTAGGGCAATGTAATAAGTTAGCTACAAATGTTCAGGTAAAGCAGAAGACTTCAGGGAGAGCCCATTCTGAAGCACAAACAAGGTCTTCCAGAAACACAAGCACTCAAGAACCTTCACAGCACATATTAACAATAAAGAAGTCACTTCAAAACAAGTAGGAAACGATCAAATTATATAAAAAGTTTGTAACATAGAAACAGAAAAGCACTGATATAAACGCATATAAAGCACAAAGACTGTGTTCCTCAATACTTCACATTTTCATTTATATAACATTCAAGATATCAGATTGAAATACAGCAAAAACCTACCTTGAAGATGGCAACGTGCTTGTAGGCTTGAAGTTTGCCATAAACGGATTAGTTGAATCATAATCAAAACTCTCCTGATGAGCTTCCCCAAACGCACTGGGTGATTTCAAGTCACTAGAACTCTCTGATCCCCCATTGCTAAGTTTATCTGACCTCTTGCTGTCTTTTTTTCCAGTCACTCTTTCAAAAAGACTAACTTTCTCTTTTTTCTCTTTTTTAATTTCTTTTCTGATCTCGACAGGTTTGGAAAACAGACTTATGTTTTGATCCCACGTTGCTGGGCTTTCTTCAAATGGATTCTTCTGTCTTGGCAGTGTAGCAAATTTTTGGGGTAATGAAGCACTCACATTAAATGGGTCATTTTGTGCTTCAAGTGCAGTTTCATCAACTGTGCTGTCAAGTTGGCTCATTTTAGAAGTATCAACACTTAATGTCCTTCTGTGTGGAGATTTTAGACTCCCTGCAAACAATCTGTCATTAGTACATTATCAATGAGACACTATATCACAGTTTATGACATGCAGAAAACCCATTTTAGCATAGATCTAGAAGCTTTGCAATTGAGCCTCAGTTCAGAACACTGGTGATTAACTAAGCTATTAAAAAAATAACAGCTGTGGCCTTCATTTCATGTTTCAGAAATGTTTATGGATAGGCACCACGGGAAATTTTTGCTTCCTGCATGAAAATGAAGTTCTACAGAGAAGACAGCTATGACTGGTGTGCCATTCCAGGGACAATAGTATGATGTTGCATAACAACTTTGAGCAATTCAAAGTATTTTCAATTCTTTGTATAAATCAGGTTTAAAATTTGGTGATAGTTTTTGACTTTTTAATTAGATTTATTTCTCACATGATGCTATTTTGCCTAGAGTCCCCTCTGGAATGCAATATACTCTCAGATGAGGACATAACATGAGAAAATGCTAAACTATCATACACCATGAGCAATGTAAGTTATTTCTTATGCTCAAAAACAGCAATTTTGAGTTACAGCAATTAAAGAAAGCATAAAAAAAATAGGCCAGCAATATTTCTTAACATTTTAGCCTTGTAAGTGCTTCATAAGTAACAGATTCTGAATGCTCTAACAACAGTCAGCTGTAATTGCAATGGTCATGAGTGTTACTTACCCCCTTCATCAACAGAAGCAAAGGACTCCAGCTGACGCCTGAAAAGATGGGTGTAGCCAACAGTGCTGGATTTCATCTTCTCTGAGGAGACGTGGGGTCCTGTCAGGTCTGACATGGAGTGAGCTGAGGACAGCCGCTGAGGGCCCAGGAGGAAAGGTTTTTTTGGTTTGGATTTCATTTGCACTTCACCACTACACACCTCTAGATTTGCATCAGGTATGTGAGTGCTTGGGATGATGGCAGAGGATGTGTCTGAAAACGTCCCGTCGTTTTTCCGACCCTTCATTTTGTCTTTTAGTTTAGCAAATGGGGATTTGGTTTTGTCCTTCATTGACAAATCAAACATACTTGCTGTCATGTTATTCCTCATAAACTGAATATTGACGTTGATTTCTCCTCTGTCTTTAGTTCTCTTCCCTTGTCTGGATTCTAGGGGAAACCACCTTAAAGGAGAAAGAGAGCAAATTAAGTTGTGTTTTCTGAAGGTTATCATTGGTAGTTGGTTAATGCATCTGGTTAGAACAATTTCAAGTATGAAAACCCAAATCCTATATCAAAGATTCAACCATTCCTGCACTGAAAAACTTTGTTTCTATTTGTACTCAAAGACAACTTATTTGTTTATATTTGTTTTCAGCAAAAACTTCTTTATATTTGTTTCAAAACTAAATAACAAAGCAAGAGGAAGCTCTTTACAGTGTTCACCTGTTTCAAAATCAAAATCAACCCTGGAAGCTGACAAAACATTACCAAAGTTAAGGGCTTCCATCTGCTTACGGAGCAGAATTTGTACCTAATTATAAATACAGATACATTTTCTCTTTCTTTTATAGTCTTCAAGTGTTCTTTATTTAGTAGTGATGTATATTAATGTATTCTACATTGCACCTACTTGATCTAGTAACCTTGTCTCCTTGGTTTTTCCTCAGTTTTTCACACTAGCAAACATTTTCCCCTCTTTCCTTCCTTCTAAGAACTGGTTAAGATTTATGACAACTGCAGCAACGCTGGCTAAGGAATATCTGAGAGCCCTGAACAGTCAGCCACCATTTCAGTTCTGCAACTGCCTCCCCTCTGGATGCTGACAGAAACTCCACAGGCACAACTGAGCACGTAGGTGTATCCAAGAGCATCCTCTCTTTTGCAGGTCACCAGCAGGATTAACTTCAGAAATATTTCCTTTGGAACCATGACATAAATCCCCACTCCTTGAAAAGAGATCAAAGGTGTGATCATCTGTTTCAAAAAGCCAAGTGTGCTTCTTTGCCAGGTCCAGCAAAAGCTTTATCATTATCCAAGTGTCTTATTCATTCCCTATTGTGCTCCATTGTCCCATGGAAGCATCTGCAGAATTATGGCTCAATCTTCCCTCCACAGCTCCACCTAAATGAATGACCAACACACAATCCCTTCTCCACAACCATCACCAAGAGCCTTTCTGTATTTCAAAAGGCCACAAGGGCGTATTTCAGATCCATCAGCTCCAAAGAACTGCTCTAACTCACCGTCAGGAGAAATCCATGCACACAGACTCACACAACAGTGCCTTACCACCAGTAACTTTTGACTTGGAGAGACTAAGAAATTCAATTGCCTATTAACATAGATACAGAATGGATTATACAGTTATACATACATTATTTAATCCTGCCAAATAAAGAAAAAAAGGTCAGGAAAGGAGAAAAATAGCCCTTAATTTATTTTTCAGATTTCATAAATATATTTTAAAGGTGACAGCTGTAATTACATGTTTTGAGTTGAGAAAATACTTCCAAAAGTGACACACCAAAAACGTAACAAAAGGATAAGGAGTATTATTATGCCTTTTTTTTTTTGATGTTGCTTTGTGATGTTCACAAGATTTTATATTTCATACTAAAGCAAAATAATTAATTGGACCTCCTCTGTTCTTGCAATCAACAATATAAATCCAGACCAGTAGACCCAGAAGCTCAAACCAGGTGAAGGATAATTAAATCTTTAGGAAAATAGCTTTTCTTCTGTTGTGAGGTAACTTCATTTATATACTTTAAATGAAATACAAAACCTGGAATATGTGTCTGAAGAAGATGGATTGTTTTTCCTTTTAGTTAATAATGCTTCAATTCTTTGGTAACTGATTCCAGAAACACTTTAAGTCATCTATAGAGTTGTTACAGAAAACAAAAACAGAACCAAAAGTCAATTGTCTTTGTGCTACATAATATTGCAAAAACTGGAAGACAAGATAGCCTACTTTCATTACAACTCTTCTTTAAAAGAAAATATGTTCATATATTCCCTTAAAAAAATACAAACAGTACACAGCCATAATGAGCAAGCTTTGCTCAGACAGCATCTGGGCAGATAAAAAACCCCAAAGAAAAACCATCCTGGACCTGAAGTCCTCCCACAGCTCCTCAGCCACACACCAAACATACAACCCAGCACAAGGAAGGCTCATGAGTGGTTTAAGAAACTTAAGAGGCAGAAAGGACTTCACTTTTTGACATTCAAATTTAGTATCTCAGTTTACTGTAAAAAAACATTCCCCTTTTCCCTCTCCTCACAGGGTTCAAACATTAATACTCTATCTCTGATAAAACTGGTGAATTTTTCTGTTTCTGCTTCTGAATTATCAAAACCTTGAATTGATCCATGACACGTAACTTGTTTTAGAACAAGTATGACATAAATTCTTAAGCTTTTGCTACGGGGAAAAAGTCTTTTATTTAAAAAAATTATTTAACAATTATTGGCGTTCTTATCACCAATTAACAATGCTGTGACATTACCAGCACTCACCTGCTAAGGGCAAATGCCATGAACTATTTTGACATTTACCTCTTTTTAAAGAGAAGCCCACAACCAAGACCTTGCCTTCATAGCTTCTACATTTCTTTTCAAAGTATATCTTCAACAACTTGACATTAAAAATAAGTTCAGGTGGGAAAACAAAGAAATTCTCCTTTTCCTAGGAAGACAACAGCAGGTCCTGCTGGAACCAGGTTCAACACTGCTACTGATTCAAACAGAATTTAATCATAAACTCTTTTTCTCCAGCAAAATTCCTCTGGTCTTCAGTGGAATTTCTATTAGAATAATGATTGCTGGATCAAATCTTTGTATGAAAGACAGATATTTAATTTTCATAGGCATTTCAAGGAGGTTTCTTTGTTACCTTGGAGAGTTTATCTTGTTTTACTTATAATGAAGGTTCCATATGCTTCAGCTCATAACAAGACAATATGAGAAGCAGACTCAAATCATGATTTTCTTCAAAATTCAAAGGCAACTAATTACTTTTTTAAACAGATGAGAACAAATGCAGGCAATCCATTTATGTGGAGCTGCACGTGAACGAACAACTAAGACCATAAATGTTTCTTATTAGAATCTGTTTCGACAACACATGGGCGTGAGCAGCAAATAGAAAAAACAGCTCTGTATAGGAGAGAAAAAAGAATGGGGAAATGAAGTCCACTGTTTTCAGATAACAACATTTGGGTCCTAAAACACTAAATTCCACTATACTACTGCCAATTTTAAAAATTGAAATGTATTATAAAAGCCAATAAAACTTGCTATTTTGGTTTTGTTTACAGTACTTTTAGCCACAATAAATGCTCCATTTGTCAGGCTGCCATGAGCTTATTCTATAGAAAGCCTGTACAAAGTAGGAAAATAGCCAATAACATACATGAACAAAACAGGGTGGCTTTTATGAGAGCAGATGCCCTTTTACTTAATAACCAAATATTACATCCAGTCTTGCAGACAGTCTTTATTTAAACAGACCTTGTACAAAGTCTGGCAAATTTTCCCAACTTCAAAGGAAGCCCTATTGCCTTTGGAATCATTCATTCTTCTTGCTCTCACCTTCAAATGTTCTGTAGGGCAATGTCCTCCATACACCCTCTAATTTCAACTTTTTCCTGATGGCTTCCATCAGAACAACCCTTGCTTCTTTCTCTCATCTGTTTTTCAGTGTGCTAATGGGCTTTGCCTGTCTTGCACAGGTTTCTGTTAATTTTTTATTTTAAATTTTCTATAAATTACCCCTCTGCATGCTGACAATTTTCTTGAATGTGCAAAGAGAAGCTCAATGTGCAAGGCTAAATAGGAAAACTCCTGCTGACCAGGCAGCACTGAAAAGCTAAACTCCTATGTGAAGCAGCATGGCTACTTTCTACCCATGACAAGATTAGTTTATTTTAGCCACATCTAGAACTAGGGGTGGAAAAAGCAAGCTCTCCTAACTTGAGCAGTCTTACCACTAATGAAGCCTCACCTTGGGGAAGACAGACAGGAAGGGTGAAGAAGAAAACTGAAATAAGCTACTATAAGTCAGCAAGTTTCAAAACCCTGACCTGTCTATTTCATTTAAACAGCTAGTGATCTACAGATTTTCAGTTGCTTTTTTTCCTCCCCTTTTCTGATTCTATTTGTCCTCCAAATCTGGAATTTGACACTTCCAAGTCTTATCCCTCTCTCTCCTTTGAAGAAGCATCACTCAGCCTGTTCTGCTCACCATGTAACAGTGAGCAGGATGGACTGACAGCCTGGGTAAGAAACAGCACTACCTAATTTCAATTATGTTTTAATTATATACTTTGACAGCCTCCAAAACCACTGGGTAACTTACCTACCAGTTTCAACAGGAATTAAGTGTTCCAGCCAGCACATTCATCCTGTGCATGACAGATGAACTCCCAACTCTGTCTTCTGGACAGTGCCAAAGATGGAAAGTATTGAAGGAATTTTCCCATCTTTCTGCTTCTCAAATACACCACTCTGCCTTGACTCTACCAGTAATTATCTGTTGAGCTAATCTAGTTTTGCTTTGTTGAAAAACCCAAAGAATTTTGCAAAATCTTTATTTCAATTCACAAATTATTGAAGAAATTTTGCAAAAAGCCACATAATCATCACAGCATCGACCAAGGCTTCTGACCTTGATTTTACAGGCAAAAATCAGCACTGTGATTTACTACACATTTAATTTTCTATACTGGCAGATATTTCTAAACTTACCCCTATAAAAGACCATCAGAATCTCAATGATAGAACACGTCCATCAGCTGTCACAAAAACAAAGTTGATGACTACTGTTAAACTAGATACACTGAAGAAACTTGCTTCACAAAAGCCCACTAACATAAATGTCCACAGCTAATTGATAAAAAACAACATTCAAAGCCCAGAACTGTCTGACATTTTCATTTAGCAGCGTATGCACTTTGAAAAATGTAGAAGAATGTTTTGTGATAAATCATTCTGATACCCTACTGAGAGGCTGCCCCAAAAGTCAGCAAGTAGGAAAATTAAGGCAAGGGGCTGAGCACAGACTACATCATGTATGAAGGGAAATGAAGAAGAAAACAAATTATTTGTTAAATTAAGTGATGACACTCACAAAGATGAATACTCTTACTTTCTGGAAGCCAACTGAAATGAGATATTG